AGATTTAGGGACATCAACCCAGATCACTGCCAACCTCTCAGTCCTCTCCCACCCGCCCCGTCCCCCCCCCCCCCATTCACAGGGAATACTGAGCTACAATGTCTTGTCCCTCTGGCCACAGCCCACAAGACCCACAGCCCCTCACTTGAGATCAGAGGGCAGGGCAGGTCATGGGGAAGGCAACTTCATCTTCCTGAAACGGTTCATAGACAACAGGAAACCAAGGTGGTTACTTTCTTGAAGTGCAGTCAAAGAAGGCTGACCTTCCCAGAAAGAAGGCTGACCTTCCCAGAAAGTGACCAGAGAGGCCAAGACAAGAGTGAGGGGGCCTCAGCCAGGTCCTCAGGCAGCAGGGTCTGGGGTGGGATTAGCTGTGTGAGATTGATGTGGAGGAGACACTGCGGTGCATAAAGGAGGAGGCAGAAGGCAGAAGGGGCCTTCAGACCACAATTTGGGTCTGATACCCGAAGAAGAGATGGAGAAGAGCCCACCCTGCTGGGTAGCTCTGAGGAGCTCCTCGCCACACCACAGGGAGGTCCAAGCAAGGCTGGCAGATGCAGGCACACCGCAGTGGGCAGACATAGCCCGAGCCCAGGCTCTAGGGCCCCTGGGGTGCTCACTGTTGGCTGTTGGCTGGGAGCAGCCCAAGGGACTGAGCACTGGAAAGGGAGCCTGGTCTTGGCAGACGTACTTGTTGGATCTGAAGATGCCAGCTCTCCTGAGAGGAGGTCTGCACAACCCCATGGATGCCAAGGAGGGCTTCTGGGGCTCCCTGGACAGTTCCCCTATACCCAATTCACAGTGCCCTACTACATGCTACTAAGAGTCCTCTGAGCTATTTCTCCTGACCTTATTTTTCACAATTCCCTTTTTGATAAGTCAGTGGGGGCCATTCTCAGTAATATGCTATTCCAGGAGTTGTATCACCTGCCCAAAGATTTGTGCTTGAAAATGTTCCTTGAAACATTCTTTGTAAGTGTTAACATTAAAAACTAACCCAAATGTAAGGATGTGTATCTTGATGATAGAGATCTGGGTTACATAGGTGTACACATCTGTAAAAACTCACCAAGCAGTACACGTCAGATTTGTGCATTTGAGGTAGGTAAATTTAATCGCAAAAGAAAAATGAAAGACCTAAACGACAACAAAGTAACCCGAGTGGCCTAGAATGAAGGAATTGGTTTTTAAAAATTATTAATTATTAAGTGTACACACAATTAAATGATATGTAGTCATGGAAATACTTCAAAGGCTAAAGGCATAGGGAAATACATATTTTTTAAAATGTTAATTAGGGTTTTCCAGAGAAACAGAAGCAATAGGAGATATTTGCTGCTTTGATTGTTTATTAGAAGAAATTGGCCATGCAATTATGGAAGCTGGCAAGTTCAAAATTGCAGCATCAATGTCCTAGCCCAAGCTAGAGGCCATCAGGGAGAACTTTCTCTTGTTCAGGGAAGGGTCAGCCTTTTTGTTCTACTTGGGCCTTCAGCTGATTGACTTAGATTCCACTCTGAGGTAGGGCAATGTGCTCTACTGAGTCTAGTGATTTAAATGCTAATCTCATTCAAAACTCCCCTCACAGAAATACCCAGATTAATGTTGAACCACGCATCTGGGTGCCCCATGGCCCAGACAATTTGACACATAAAATTGACCATCACAACATGGTAAATGAAAAGATGGGGTAATCAAACTTCCAGATCCTAATTTCATAGAGCAGATGTGAATGCGTTACATGCTCACATATAAAACACAGTATGGCACGTAGAGAGAAGAAAATAGAACGGTATGTTGGGCATCTGGTTTGTAAGACCACACATGATTTTTATTTTCTTCTTTCTTCCAAACTCCTCTAGTTTGAATGGGTCTCTGACTTCTATTTGATCTTCTGTTTCCTCCTCTGGAAATGTCCTACCTCCAGATTTTTCCCTATTGTAAATACAATGGTACATGTAAAAATGTAGCACAGGGGCCCAGAACAGCAGATGCCAGCAAACCTCAGCATCTGTCCTGTCCACCCTCCTTAGAGCAGAGGAAAACACATGTTTCTCATTTTCCCACAAATCACATGGCCAAGGCAAGGATCAGTCACCCATTTCACAAGAATGACCCCTGGGGAAGGAAGTGATTACCCAGACCCCCAGCAAACTCTAGACCTCCAATTACCCTGAAGCTTCAAGACCCAATCCTGCTCTTCTCAGCCAAGCACAGCAGGAAGGTTGGTTCACCCCCTGCTGGCTTCCTCTGGCAAACTTGCCAAGTCAGCCCTTCCCCAAGATGTCCATGATTCTCCACTCCCAGCTCCAATCCCCTCAGGCCCAGGCTTCCCTGACTTTTAAGGAACTTCTGGGCTCCAGGTGGCTAATGTGGGGACACCTCTCTGGCCTACTAAGATTCAGGAACAAATAACTCTATGGAGCCAAAAACGATTTCTGCAAGACTACCTGCTGCATGCCAGGCACACACAGGCACTTCACCTGCACTGACACTGAATGTACCCTACAGAACGATCTGAACACACCAGGCATGCCTGTGTGTCCTTACCCAGAACCCTTATCCCAGACAGAAAAGTGCTGACTGCCCCCCGCATACACACACACTCACATACATACACCAGGGCACATGCCTCTAGGCTCTCATTCAGAAGCCAACGGGAGCATCCTTGGACCCTGCTATGCTGGGAAATAACCCAGGAGGCCTTCCTTCCCAGGCTCGTGAGATCACCAGGACGTTCCATTCTGACCATCCCCAGCTGACCTTAGCACTACAACCCAAATCCTGAATGAAAGAGCTTGGAGAGCAGTCTGGGGTCAGTACTCGCCTTACCTTCCTCTCTTTACAGTTTCTTTACACACAGCTCTCAATGCAAGTGTGCTCAAGCACCCCGGACCTGAAGGAGCCAAGAGCAACATGAGGGTATAAGAGGAGGAAGTGGAGGCAGAGGTCTACCTTCCTTATTAGTCTGAAATTCCACTCTCTTCCATTTCCCTAGATACAACAGTCCTTCACACTTTAGTGTGAATTGACTTGCTAGCTTGCTTTTACAAAGAGGGGCTTGGCATGACACCCCTGGGCAGCCCGAATGAAACAGTAAGGCAGATGGGGATGTGAAGAAAGGCAAGGGTGGCAAGGGAGGTCTGAAAAACAACTTCCTCTTAGAATCAGGAGTGCTAAGGGCAGGTGCTCTTGATTCACCCTGCCCACCCACCCTTATCCACAGAAACAGGGACCCCAGTTTGCACCCATTCTCTACCATCTGCCCCACAATACAGACAAATCAAGTTAGGCACAATTCACATTTTGCCATTTTCAATGCTCAAAAGCTCTGTACAAAAAAAAAATCACAAATGAATCCTCACAACACCCCTGTGAGGTAGGCAGGCAAGTATTATTCTCCCATTTTACAGATGGGGAAACTGAGGCAGACAGGGAAAGTGACCAGTCAGCGATCCCAGCACAGCTGGAATGCAGGGCCAACCATGAGAACATGAAGGCTCCCTCCCAGGTCAGCCCTGGTCTCTGGCCCCTCATCCTTGAGGGCAAAGAAATGAAAACTTTTTAACACATGCAAAAATAAAAACAATTCCAACAACAAATCTGAAAAGGTAGTGAACAGATGACATACAGTAGTTCTGCAAAAGAATTCAGACAAGATGGTCACACTCATCCCAAGACTCGGTAGATGTGAACAACCACAGTCTCTTCACCACTTTCTAAACATCATGACCAGTAACACCTCCACCTGCTTCTCTGCAGAAGATAGCCACAGAGCAACCTCCTAGTTCCCACAAGCCAGAGTTGGGGTGCAGTCCCCCACAGTTCAGGACCTAGGTTTTCACAGGCACAGGGCCCAGAGGAAGAGCTGCAAGGCTCAGCTCAATAACGCCTGCCACTCCCTCCTCTCCGGGGAGCCTCCCACAAGAGCTGGTCCTGGTGCCTCGAACTTCACGGTGCATGGCCCCTCTGTCCCTCTGCCCCGATTGGAAGGCAATACATGGGTGCTCAGCAAGCATGGTCTGGAATCCAGGTGACCCCTAATCTGCCCTGTGCCCACACTCCAGTTTGTTGAGAGGCATCTGTCAATCCTTGGGGGTGCTGCTTGGACAAGGTGGGAGCGCAGAGCCATCTGGAGCTGGTGGGCAGGGTGGAGCTCTCCAGTGGAGCCTGTCTCCCTCAGCACCTCCAGACGGGCTCCCATGCAAATCAAGCAGGCCTCTTCCACAGGATTTCACCCACCTTCTGGAAGCTCTTTCCTCCCCTGAAAGGAATTTCTTGATGTTCCTGGCTCTGTGGAAACCTCCATAGCCCTCCCAGTACCAGGGACGGGGGTGAGGAAAAGAAAGGAGAGGGAGGGGCCTCCAGCAGGCCATGCTGTTATCCTTACGGAAGTCTCCAACCCGGAGCCAGAGCCCGAGAGGCAAGAAAAGTGGTTAAAGCTGCCTTTAAAGTAACAATCTCCTCTCTCCCCCAAACTGCATCCACTCCCCAGGGAGCCAGAGCCCAAGGCAGTGCTCAAGCAGCAAGAGGGGAGAAGCCAAGGGGCCCAGCAGGGAGGGACAGAAAGGCAAGGAAACTACCTGCAGCCTGCCTGCCCTGCACCAGGGCCGTCAGCGCTGCTGTAAAAGGGGCCAGAGGAGGAGGGAAGTAGCCTGGAGCCTGGCTGGCAATTTGGGGTGTGACCTCCTTAATGGGCTAAGGGCATCCCAGACAGCCCACCAGCAAGGCGTGCGTGTGTGTGTGTGTGTGTGTGTGTGTGTGTGTGTATGTCTCTCTCTCTCTCTCTCTCACACACACACACACACACGCCCCTCTTCCGGGAGGCCATGTCATTTACAAGGTGTGACTGTGCCAACTGTCCCACAAAAAGCTCTTACATAGAAGAGGTCCCCACCCCAGTCCCTCTGGGGTGACTAGGAATTGCCTCCTCATGACCACCCCGGGAAAAGCACCAGGCACCCCAGCCCAAGAGGAGGCAGGGGCAGGGGGAGCCCCTCCTATAGGAAGTCCCCTGCGGCCCAGGCCTCGGGGCTGTGGCTCTGCTCCTGCCACCGGCATTGCAGCCCAGAGAAGGGCGGGTCCTCCACGCGCTCCAGCTCAGGGAAGCCCAGCTGGTGGAGGTTCTCATAAATTCCGGCCTTCGATACCATCTAGGAGGAAAGCAGAGAGGGGGCAGCGCTCCAGGTGAGGCAGCGTGACCTGAATGACAGGTCACCCGCCCCCCTTCACCAGGGCAGCCTCTCCTCGCAGGGTCTGAGCAAGACTGGGGCCGGTGCCGCCCCCAGCTAAGAGACCTGATTGAGCTGACTTGTGTTAACTGCACTGAGCCTCACTTTCCTTCTAACAGGGATGTGGCTCTTCCTCCCGGGCCTCCTGAGGAGGCTCAGCACAGCATGCACTCACACAGTAAGGAAGTGGGGAGTCGCACGGGGGCCAAGCAAGGCTGTGTCAGCCAGACACTCACTCGACACTCAGGAGCACTGGCGCAGGGGCCCAGGGGGCAGGGCAGGGCTGGCAGTGGGGAAGCAAGAGGCAGCAAGAGCCCCTTGACTGTGAACTGTGGCCCAGGCTGGCCCACTTAGGCCTTTGCCCAGGGGTTAGCGGGCACCTCACTACACCACCCTTTTGCCCAGCAGCCCAGGCTCTGGCACCAGACTCCAACCACCACCAATGTGCCTCTTCTCCCCACCATCCTGGGAGTGGGGAGGACAAAGGCTTCACTCAGAACAAAGGTCTCCAGGCAACCCTCACCCTCCACTCATCCCCAGGAAAGAGGGGATCAAGCACCCCATCCCCACCCATGGTTCCCCAGATTTTCATTCTCCAAGCAGAACCCCCCCAAAAGTATCCTCATTCCCCTACCACCTCAACACCACACTGAGATCAAAGGGGAGGCTGAGCCCAGGCTGCTCAAAAGGGTGGCCTGACCCCCCATCAGATCTCTCTCACCCACCATCGACCACCCTGAAGGCTCATCTTAGCACAACTGCCCAGTCGCCACTATCCCTGCCCCTGGACACTGCCGTGGCCTCCCTTGCTGCTCTGAACCCACTGGTAGACGTGCCTAAGGCCCCTACAGGCTCCCATCCTCAGTCTGGCTGGGGTGTGCACCCCCTGCCGCCTGTCCCAGGGGAGATAATTCCAGCCTGGAATCCAGGTTAGAACTGCCAGGACTGGGTGGTGAGGTCAGGAGGGCCAGCTTCCTGGCGGAGGGTAATTACAGGCCGCGCTGCCGAGATCAGGGGGCCTCTCTCCTGACCTCTGGCCTAGGTGTGGAGGCAGCAGCTCTGCCTCTGAAAGCAGTGGCGGCCAAGCAGGAGAGTCAGAGGCTGAGCAGAGGGCAATGATCAAGAGGACATGGGGGGCTTTAGAACCAATCACCTGGCTCTCACACTGACAGTGAGCAAGTACTGACCTCCCTGTGCCAGTCACCCTGCAGAACAGGAGCAACAGTCTCCCCGAAGACAGTCCTGCTCATCACAGCCCAACACTGACCTCACGGAATCCCCCCAAAATCTCGTGAGGTCACGCTACGGTATCAACGTTATTTCCATGTTAATGTTGAGGAGAGTAGGCTAGACCAATGCACTTGTCGAAGGTCACAGAGGGCAGCTGGCAGGAGCTGAGCCACCACACCAGCTTGCCCTGAGGGCCGGGCACAACAACCAGCCAGAGGCACCTGGCAGATGCGCACAGCAGGAGCCCAGCAGGCACAGTACCTGGGGGACCGCCAGGACCCCTCGCGCCTCCCCGTGCACGCATTTACTCTTCAAGCTGAGATGATCATCCTGTCCCGCACAGACACGGTGCTGAGCCCCAAAGTGAGACAGGAGAAACGCCGGGCCACGTGGAAGTCTCAACAGCGGACGGGAATGACCTGGCCCCTCCTGCAGCCGCCCCTTGCGCCTCAGCCTCCCGCCTCCCACCTCCCGCATCCAGGTGCTGAACGGCCTCTGCCAGGACTGCGCCTTCTCCAGGTGCAGATGCGCGTTGAGAAGCACCAGGTGGACAGAGCGCTCCAGGTACTGCAGACTCCGCAGATGCAGTCTCCGGGCCTCCTGCTCCACCTGGGCTGCCTTTGCCTGGAGGACATACGGGAGTCAGTCTGGGGGTCACCCCACACATCGTGCATGTACACGCCACATACTCTCACGAACTCTCACACATAAAACACACACTCACATACACATGCCCCCCACACACAGATACCCCATGCCACAGGCAACCCATTCACAGCGCACACACAAACTCTGCATGCACACTCATGAACACCCTACACACACACACACTCACACACACACACTCACTACTCACACACTCATACCCCCTGCTTCCCTCAGCACCAGGGCAGGGACAGAGGCAGGATTCAGATGGCAATGGGAGGGACACTGCCCCATCCAGGTTACAGGAAAGGCCATTAGGTGTACTGGTGCCAGGAAGAAGCCACTTCCTATTGGGGAGGGTGGTCAGCCTCCCTGAACCCCTATTTCCTCCTGAAATTCTAACCACTGTTCCGTTCTAAAGGGAGACCAGACAAGGACAGGCTGCCAGCAGAAGCTCCAGGCACACAACCTCCATCGTACTGAGGGGTGAGGAGGGTCGGAGGGGCCCTGGACAGGATGTCCAGTTCTAACCACAAGGTAGGGGCCTTTTGGCCAACTTTCTGTCACTCCAAGGAAGAATATCTCCTTCCTGGTCCCCAACCCTCCTGGGACTAGAGGAAAGCCCAGGCCTCTGAGAGTGGGGGTGGTCAGTGCTCTGCTCCCTGGCCAGGAGGGGCCGCGCAGTGGTCTGTCAGGGTAGGCCATAGGGGTTCTGGCTTGTGGACACAGCGGGTACCCTCTCTTCTCCCTTGGCCTGGGATCTGCGGCAGCCAGCTGCTCTCTGCTAGGAAGGGGGAGAAACCCAGCCTGCCCTCTGCCCCCACTGGTCCCTGACTGACCCCCTCGCCTGTTTCTCAGGTGGTTCAGGATCTAAGGTAGAAGGGTACAGGCTGCCCTCAGTGGCTCTCCAGGGCTGACAGATCACAGAGAAGCCACCAGGGTTAAAGGCTAGGGAGAAATACAAGATTTGACCAGGGGCCAAAACCTCAGGAACCACTGAAGGTTTGTGGGTAGAAGTGACCTAATAAGACTCATGGAAGACTAATGCTCAGGAGGAAGGGAACTTCAGGGGGTCCTCTCAAACTTCTCCCCAGCACAGAGGTCAGGAGCAGGCCAGCAGACAAGGCCGAGCACACACACAGCCAGCTGTTCCCTGCAGCATGTCTACACCACAACTCACAGCGTACCTCTAACCCTCCAGGGTGCTGCCCGCCTGGAGGGAGCAGGAGGGTGAGCACTGTACCTCACTTCATACCTCCCAAGCCCACCCAGGGCCCACAGCAGTTCTCTCATCTCCAGAAAGAAGTGGCCCAGGGGCTGTTCCCTCAGCAGCCAGGAACATCTGTGGAAAGGTACAGCCATTTGGGCCTCTGGGAGCCAGGAGCTCCCAGAGCAGTCTCCCAACAGCTGGGCCACAGCTGGAAGCCGCCCCACAAAGGCAGTCAGGCTACTGTGTGTCTGGAACACCATGGGAAGGGGCCTGGTGGGACCACCACTAATCCCGGATGTGACACAGCCCACAGCCCCAAGAACAGGAGCTGGAGTGGGAGGCCTCCCATTTCTGCCTCCAGGGACTCAGGCTCCTAGGCTCCCTTGAGGGCGGGGTAACTCCACAGCCAGCCCACCCACATCATCCATAAGGAGCCAGGAGGCCTTGGGATTGGGTGGAAGGAGGGGTGAGGGACCCAGCCCAGTGCTCGATGTCTGTGGAGAGGAAACGGGGCTCTGGGACTAGTTCTCCCATTTAAGCTCTCGGCCCCCATGTTTCTGGAGGTAGGACGCCCACACAGTAGGAGAGAAAGCACCTTGAACCATGAAGAGCCACATCAGCTCCTTCACCTCCGGAGCAGGAGGGAGGGACGGCGACATGAACACGCACAGGCAAACACACAGACCTCGGGGTCCGCTGGAGGAGGCCAAAGACAAGGGCGAAGAGGCTCATGAGATCCAGGAGGCAGGGAGCTGGCCAGAGAGGGCATCAAATGGAGGGCATATTGGGCATGGATTAGCATGAGAGAGGAGGCAGAGCGTGAGAGGCAGGTGGTGGTAGACAGCAAGAGGAAATTGTGGCAGAGGAAGGAGGTGATGGCAAGAGGTTGGGCCTGCAGTACCGTGTGCAGGCCAAGTCAAGCACTGACCCTACAGACCAAGGGGCCAGTGAAGGCTTCTCGTAAGATCTGAGGTCGGGAATGGCTCTGTAGCTGGTGAAGGAAGATGACTGGGATATAGGACTAGGGGGCAAGATGCCTGTGGTTTTAAGAATTTACAGAGCCAGCATTCAAAAAACAATGCAATTCTGTTTAGAAATTCGGCCAATCACCAAAAAGAAGGTTTTACCTAAATAAAAATTGTGTCCAATCCACGACTCCTATCAGGATGGAGAGACACGCCACACTGCACTAAGTATTCACTCACCCCAACCACTTCTATGGCCTCCCCAACTCCATTCAAAGGCCTCGAGTCTGGTTAAAGACATTTTCTTAGAAAGCAGGAAAGGAAATTACCCTCAGCCCACTGGAAAAAATCCATTTTTTTTTTAAAGAGGCATGTATTATTTATTTATTTTTTTGTTTGTTTATACAAGCACTGGGTACAGTCAGAAGTGCGGGAGGGTGAGAGAATTCACCAGAACCAGAGTGGGGAACAGAGCAGGCAGAAGGACCGAAGGACACTGCTGAGGGAGCAGCGGGCGGCAGGAGAGGTCTGCGTGCCATGTGGGACCCTCCTCCGGTGGCCGGGGAGCAGCCAGGGATCAAACCGGCACTGCAGAGGCCGCGGGCAGCTTCACAACCCACCGCTCAACCGCTGCGCCACCGGGGAGGCCCTGGGCAAAAGCCATTTTAAACCACTTTAAATTAAAGAGCTCAGAAGAAAATCCTGTGGGCTTGAAAAGCCCTCAGCTCTGGGTAAGGCCTCTGGATACAGCCACCCAGCCCGGTCCCCGCTGTGCCCGCTGCTGCGGGAGACTCCAGGGAGGGTTAACTCAGGAATCTTCAGGGAGGCGAGGTTGAGTGATTCTTTCGAGTCTGCTGGCAAGGCAGGGTGGTGTTATCTCTAAATTCAGAACCCGTAAAGGTGACATCTGACTCCCCCAAAAAGGTTCCCTGGGCACATCCTATCTGCTCACAGTCTGTGATTTGAGATGAGACACGACCCATCCCCTATAAGGGCTCTGTTTTCTTTAAAATCATCCATGTCAGGGCCTCCCTGGTGGCGCAAGGGGTTAAGCACTGCACTGTGAAGCAATCCACAGCCTCTGCAGCATGAGTTTGGTCACCAGCCAGCGAAGGAGAAACCTACAGGATGCAGCAGACCTCTCCTGTCTCTCCTGCTGCTCCCCTGAGCAGTGTATTTAGTCAGTCTGCCTGTTCTGTTCCCCACTCTGCCTCTGGTGGGTCCTCTCACCCTCTACATCTCTGGCCTATAATCCAGTGCTTGAATGCATAAATAAATAAATCTTATAAAAATAAAATCATCCATGTCAGTGCTGGGGAGGAGGAGAGGCCAGCCACCTCTGGTCCATGAAAATAGTGGAGCTGTTTTTAAATGGCCTGGCAGACCAGGCTGTCATTAGCTGCGGCGGAGCAGGACAAAGCCTCCTAGTCCATGGGGACTGAGCCCTGAAATAGCAGGGGCCAGGGAAAGGTGGGCAGGCGCTGCGCATTTCTCAAGCCTGCAGTCGACCCTGCACCAACACAGGCCCCGTGTCACCAGCAGTGGCTCTCTTAAAGCTCTGCTCAGGGCTGGGCCACCAGGAACAGGCCCACTGAGCCAGGGCTGGGAGGCTTCCCAGATGTGTCGCTGCATGCCACCGGTGGGCTGAGCACATCACATCCAGATGCTTAGACGCCAGCACACTCTGTCAACAGGCCGTGAATGGACACAGATATCGCACTTGCAGACAAGGCTCTGCAAGGTTAAGTAACTGCCCAAGGTCACAGGTTCCAAGTCCAGACACGAACTCCAAACTCTCAGCTCTTCCACCTCCCTAGCCCCTTCGCCTCAGTCAGGTTCAACTCCCAGCCTCACCCTTGCCAAGCGCTTGTCCTCCCATCTTCCTCCTGCCTACAATGTCCTCCCCTCTGCCTGCTGGCCATGTTTAGTTTGTCCCTCAAGGTCAAAGGCAAGCCCACATCTCAGCACTGTAGCCCCACAGCCTGACCTCAGCCTCCCCTGCTTTCATGCCACATTTCAGTAATACCACATTTCATTCCATCCAGAGGATTTCTAATTGTTCCCAAGGGGTGATGGGTTCACCCAAGACCACAAAAAGCTCAGAGGCAGGCCCCAGATTATAACCAGACTTACATGTTGGCCTCAACCAGCACCCAGCATGTCCTTTGTCTTGCTGTGCAGCAGACCTGGTAGGTCAGGTCAGTGAGCACATGCTCCTGAGTCATCTCACCCTGTCTCATGCTTTCAATGTCATCTAGAATCTAGATTATTCTGGACAAGTAGTAGGTGCAAAATGTTTGTCAAATCAATGAATCACTACCTTGTATGTCTCACATTTTCACAGCTCTGCATCAGACCACCTGTGGTTACCTAGAAGCAGAGGTCAAAGAGGTGGCCTGACCTGCGAGGGGCACATGGAGAGCTAGACATAGCACAAGCACCAGGAAAAAAGAGCCAACACCCTGCATTACAACCCCCCAGCCCCAATGTCCACAATGTCCAACACCCAGAGCAGAGGGGGAAATAAGAACAAGAAGCCAGGCCAAGATCAGGGTCAAGAAAAGCCAGTCAACATCCCATTACTGGAACCTTGCATGGCCTTGTGGTCTCTGCCCTCCTGGTGTTCCAGGGTCCAGGCTGAGTGGGCAGCTGACAGGCCTCAAAGCTGATCAGTCTCCAGAGGGCAGGGTCTCAGAACGCAGGCCCCACATTTCTCAAAGTTCAATGTCACTGCTCTCCTTGGCAGACCTGGGCCCACAAGTAAGCAGAGCCAGCTGCCAGAGTTTTCCATGAGTCCCTGCAAACTCCACCCTCAGGCCTGC